AAAATCGGAAAAAAATACATTTAAATAATATGTGTGGATCTGCTGAAAGAAGAAAGCTGAGTAGTCCCTCCCATAGCCATAGAGGTGCCTCACTTAGCAACATTTACTGAGTACCTGCTGTGTTGCAGAGAATCAAACAGGCCAGAGTCCTTGCTTTAAAGTTGCTCATAGTCTAGTTCAGAGACTGACACATAGATAATTGTGGTAGCTGATTGTTATTTAGCACCTGCTCTGTGGCAAACACTACCTTACAGTAACTCTAAATGCCAGAAAGATTTACCATCCCCATCCTTAGATGAGAGAACTGAGGCACAGATTGGTTAAACAACCTGCTCAAGTTCACACAGACCTAGTAAGTTAACATCTACTTTATGTTGCTGTTCTGATGATTGAAAATAGCATAGTAAGTGTAAAATAAGGAGATGATACACAGAGTAATATCAAAACCTAAAACAGTGGGAGAGGGAGTCTTACAAAAGGCTTTCTGGAGGAAGTGATAAACTGATTCTTAAAAGATATGTGGGAGGTTCAGACAGAAGAACCAGTAAGAATGAGTAAAAATGGAGATAAAAAATACATGAAGTATATGGAGTGGGGGTGACAAGATATTTTATGCTGCTTGAACACGGAGCCTGAAGCAGGACGTAGCCAAACAGGAGACTAAATGGGTGGGCACGGAGGGCTTTTGTATACCTTGCTAAGGAGTTTGTACGTTAGCCTGAGGGTATGTGAAAGGACCCATAGAAGGGTTTAAGCAGGATGATGGGGTCTGATTTTTATTCCTTATGAATCGTCTGAGGGTAAAGGATGGATTTGAGGGACCAGTTAAGAAGCCTGTTGTAATAATTCAGGAGTAATGAGTCCCTGCCTCAGAAGGACAGGGAAGGTAAGGATGGACAGATTTGAGAAATACTTAGTGAGAAAATTGCAAGATTGAATAGTTAATTAGGAGGAAGAAGTCCCAGGTGATTCCCAAGTAGCCTGGGTGATTGGTGCATGGTGGAGACGGGGACCCCAAACAGTTTTAGGTGGGTCCCAGAGTCACAGAGTGAGTACTCTGGAATAGATAGAAGTTCCACAAAATGAACCCTAAGAATATGTATGCCACGTGCAAAAAGGGACTTCCTAGTGAAGCTGCTTTTTGCTGAGAGGCCTGCTGTTCACTCAGTGCCCTCTGGTGGTCAGAAGATGCCATATTGCTTCTTTAGGATGAACAGATCAAACTGTAGACTGCCTGAATTAAATGCGTTTCCTCTTCCACGCCTGGAGGGAAAGAGGAGTATTTCAGAAGCCCTTTGCTTTCTTTGTGGCTAAATTCATTTCCTAGACCTAGCACTTAACTAAAGTAACAAACTCATTTATTCAGAAATTGGTTGACAGCCTCAGCTATCCAGTGCCCTGGCTTGAAGCCAAAGACTAAGGCAATTTGTTGCCCATCAGCAATAAAAATAGATTAAATGGAGTGCAGGCATTAAAATCCTTATCTTACTCACAGAACACTTCCCTAGGTCCTCACAGAAAATGAAATTATTTTTGTAGATTCAGTTTCAGTGAGTTTTTATCTAATTTCATCACCCATAACACATTGAAATGGTGGGCAGCAGGAGATCAGCACACCTTTCAGAAGTGACAGCTGTTGGCTTGACAAGTAAGGAGACAGAAAAATACTAACCAACCAACAAACTACAGTCTCCCAAAGCATAACAGTTTCAGGCCATTTTGTGTAGGTGCAAACAACCCTAGCAAATTTGAACAGCTCCTGTTTTTCAGGAGAATATAATTGATGCAGAGGAGAAAGCAGCCAGCCAGGTGTTGCTGTCCCTGGAGGCTGCTCTTAGAATAGCAGGAAGATCTCTAGGCCAGGATTGAGGAGACCAAGGTCCTGTCCCGTCAGCCACTAAAACTAGACGTGACTTTGAGTATATAGCTTAATCTCTCAGGGCCTCAGTTTGTTTTCTCATCTATAAAGCAGTGGGTTGAACTTGAATATTTCATAAAATTCTATGAACTTTATTCACAATGATGACATGAATATTTAAGAAAAATCATATTATGCGCAGATTGAAAAGACAAACATTTGTCATCTCTAATTTATAGAAGAATTCTGTGAGGAGTATGATTATCTCTACTTTGTAGATGAGAAAAGCAGGGTTAGAGAGGTTAAGAAAATTCATAGCTAAGTAAATGGTAGGACTGGTATTCAAATTTATCAGTGTCTGCTTCCTGGGCTCTTATTTAATACTTTCATTTAACAAGCATGAATTAAGTGCCAGCTATGTGGGAAGTGTGCTAGGCACAGGGAACACAAAGGCTGGTAAGCCTCTTGCTGTCCCAGGGAGTTGGGTGTAGTAGGCATTGCTGCACAGTACCGCTGTTAGTGCTAAAAATGCAGGTACTACTGCAGCAGTGTTGGGACAAATGAACACACAGCTACTTTAGGGCTTTTAAATATTTTAGGGTGTGAGCATGGAATGGAGCCACCATTTATAGCTTTGTTTCTATGGGAATACATGTTTCAAGTTACAAATAAAAAACTTAAAAATAAAGTTTTAGAACATAACCCAATTACAATTTCAGAACTTCCTGTACTAAGTACTGAACTTATAGTCTAATAACCAGCCAGAGTGCTTGTTCTAAAAAGTGAATAAAATTTTCTAAACTTGATCATGTCTGTCCAATTTCAGTGCCTTGAAGTAAAGACCTTTTACCTTTGGGAGCCTTATACAACCAGTTCTGCCTGGAAATCTCAAGGAGAAAACCTAGAAAATTTTATTAAGCTTAAATTTAGAGATTGGGATACTGTATACGCTGGAAAATGGTATTCTAGGAAAGAATTTTGCCAAGGTGACCTTATTTTCATAGATGGCAAAGTCGTTCAGGCTATGATCTCAAGCTCAAGAGTTGTATTGTGTTCTAATCTCACCAAGTCCTCTGTGGCCTTAGGAAGGTTATATAACATCATGTTTCGTTCTCGCATCTGGAAATGGGTCTTAAAACAGTATATACTTTATGGGGTTTGTTATGGGTATTAAATGATAAAATGATATACATATTTACATGCATATATATATATATACACGTGTGTACATATATACGTATATACTACTGATGTGCCAGGCTCTAGTTTTAAGCCACACACACCTCTGCTTAGACTAAACTCTGGCACTTTGATAGGAAGGCCATAAAACAAAGTTCCCTTCCCTCTCATTACATTTCCAAGCTTTTGTTTGTGTTGCTGTGTACCTCTCTCCAGTTATTTACACACACACCAATACGGGTATCTGAAATGCCTTTCCCCTTGCTTTCTATTTTTCTCGATTCTACTCATTCATCAAGACTTCACTCAAATCCTTCCTAAAGCCTACTGTTCTAGTCCAATTCGTGCTTTTCTTTTTCTAAACTTATTGAACTTTATTCAATATAATTTAGTACTTAATTTTTGTCAAATTGTTTCTTGGTTTAAAATGTAATCCCTCATATGTAATTGGCTCTACTGTATACCACCCTTCTCCATCCTCTACCTCAATGCTTTATGCCGTGTTAGGAACATTATAGGTGTTTAGTACACTCTGATACTCTGATTTATAAACATGAGAAAATCCTTTCACTATATTTCAGGCTTCTTAAGAAGTTGGTCTATAGCCCTCAAATTAAATCCATATACTTACATTCAGTCACATAAGAAATAGGTATGAGGAAATGAATATATATACTTAAATTTCCTTTGATACCCAGAGGTAAGTGTTCGCAGTTCAGAGACTGAGGCGCTGAATTGCATGCGATGCTAGGCTCTGCTGCAGACTCACCGAGGTCTTCAGGGGCTGTCCTAGGTAATGCAAGTCTATGACGCAATTAGAGGGTGATGGGTTGCCCTAAAGAAGTCACTCCAGAATTCCTTTACTTTTTCATTCACTTTATATGTTTATTTATAGACCCTTAATTTATCATTTGACTAAGGCTAGGGCAAAGGAAACTTCCAGCAAAACTTTTTTCCAATTTAAGAGATTTAGCAATGAAGGAAAAGTATTTCTAAAATCTCACTATGTCAGTGAAAAATTTACTGAAACAGCTCACAGAGTATAACATAGGGAACACATCTACTGAATAAGACTAGCTACACACATGCAGATACAACCATTTTACAGATAGTGTTCAGATGGGTTAATTAATTGTGCTAGAGCCTTAATAAACCCTATGTTAAGGACACATGCCCCGTCCTTGTTCTTTGCAGAAGGGCACACTGCATAGTACCAAGAAGTGTGTAGTAACCACTGTTCAGTGCTTAGTACCCATCTGGATGGTCAGGAGTCCCAGTACCTACTTCACCACAGTTAACTGTATCTTTGATAACATTGTTTAACAGCACTACATCTTTGTCTTTCTTCTATGAAATAAGAAGGTTGGACTAGATTAGATCTCTAAGCTCTAAAAGCCTACAAATATTGAAATTCCTTAATATTCTTAATGGGCTTGGTAGCTGTTTTTGAATTTGAGATGAGCTGGTTAAGCTTTTTCAAACTAAAGTGTTAAAAATCCAGTGTAAATTTTTCTGTATCCCCTAACTCTTTGTTCCTCTGGAGAACTGCTTCCACACTAGGTGTCCTTCTAGCCTTAGGGGAACCCTTGACTTTGATCCCATTTGAAGTTTCCACTCTGGACCCCAGCCCTGAGTTTTAGCTGTACAAACTTGTTCTACCAATGATGCAGCTAGTAACACAAGCAAAAGCAATCACAGAAGTAGTTAGAACAGCAAAAACAGTTGAAAGATAAACAATTTTAAATAAAAGAATTGGGATAGGAAGGGATAAACTGGGAGCTTGAGATTTGCAGATACTGACTGGTATATATAAAATAGATAAGTTTATACTGTATAGTACAGGGAAATATATTCAATATCTTGTAGTAGCTCACGGTGAAAAAGAATATGAAAATGAATATATGTATATTCATGTATGACTGAAGAATTGTGCTGTATACCAGAAATTGACACAACGTTGTAAACTGACTATAACTCAACTAAAAAAAAAAGTTACTCTCCCTAAAATCATCTTTACTCAGAACATGCATATTTGCGTAATAACATTGATGAAACTGCAGTTTTAGGTCAGTCTAGGAGCTAAAGTGTTAGCACTGATTTTAGACAGATACTTGTTCAGCTTGAGCTGTATGAGGGAAAGAAACATACACACAGATATGGAGGTGGTGGGATTCATACTCAAGTCTGTCTGACCCAGAGCCCTGTTTTCTCCACCCAGCACAGTGCCTTTGTGCACAGAGTAGGCACTTTGCGGAGTACATATTGAATGAAGTCACTAATCTGGAACAGGTCAAAATTCCCTGCAACTATGTATCCTTCAGATTACAGAGTACCTATGCTATTGTTGATTCTCAGTATTTTATTCAGTGCCTGGTACACCACAGTACTCAACAAATGTTTGTTGAATTAACGTATGTTAAGATGCTGTTGATGCTCTTATTTGTAGTGTTTTGTTTATGTTAGCACAGAATGTATGTTCACTAATTTAATTGAATGATGACTGTCATTGATCTTCTGTGTAGCTGGATTAATTTTGGTTGCTGACCATAAAACTGCTTTTCCTTTAGATTAGAAGGGTCCTTGGAACGTTTAGATTCTTTATGTAATCATTTCAAGCATGGGATATTTACAGCTTCAAAGTTTTAAGAGATAAACAGATGAAAAGCTGGCTTTCATCCTGCTGGACTGTTATTTGGAAGGAAACTTTAAGATTATCTGGTCAAACTTACCTCTTATGCTTAAGTAAGTGTCACCACTGCCACAACTACCACCACTGTTACTTCCATTAATTATCACAAGTTAAGCACTAGACATTTTACACATTGCTCCTACGAATCCTAATGTTTGATACATTATTTGAGATATTATTATCCCACTTTGACCATTCAGGAAACTTGGGGTCAGTGAGAACAAACAAGTTATCCAGGGTGGCAAACCTAGATTGGAACTCGGGCCTTCTGATCCAAAGCCCTTGGAAGAAAGGCCCGTGCTCTTTTCTCTGGACAGTACTGTCATCAACATCTCTGTACTACACAGGGCACTCATCCTTTGGATGAGTTTGTTTCATTTTTGAACAACTCTTATTACTAGAAAAAATTTGCAATAATATCTATCCCTCCACTCTTTATTCATTAAAGTTTTCTCTGAATTCTGCAGAATACCTATAGACTGAGAAATCTCATCGTACATAAACGGGGCTTGAGGTCTATATTTTTGTGGGGTTTTTTCTTTTTTCCTTTTTTACCCTTTGAATAAGGTTTAGTTGTTATTTGGATTTGTTTTATGTAATTGTAATTGTTATATAATGTCATAGCCTGTGTTTATTTAGTTGACTTTCCATCCTGAAATCTTTTCTCATTTTCTTCTATGGTCTTCATTCATAAATAATAATTTTCATAATGTGAATTTTAGGGAGGGGATTTACCTTGGTTTATTCATGACTCCCTTATTACCAGGCATTTCAGGTTATAAGTAACACATTGATAAATATCTTTGTCCATACATTGCTTTTTGTATTTAGGTACATACTGAACATGACTCCTTAATTTTAGTACAGATATTGGAGTTACACAAGGTTGAAATACTGTGCCTATTTGAAATACTTGATCTAGCTTACAGAAAAGGCCTACTGGTTGCAATTTTAAGAAGGCAGGAGATCTCATTATAAGCCACCTTCATTTCACCAGGTGCACATCCCGACTATGTAGCTCTGTGTCTTCAGGCAGGAAGGAGGCAGGGTGATCTTTAGGTAGTGGGGAATAGGGGTATGAGATCACATGTGATCTGTGACAAACAGATAAAAAGCAAGTGGAAGTAACTAAATTTAGGTAATCTCTTAATTACTACTGCAGGAATTGAAGGGTTTGGGGACTGAAGAATGAACATTTTATTTCCCTGAACAGCTTGTTAAATGTTCTTTTTATGCTCAGTCATATTGCGTAGGAACTTGTTTTTAAGTAGAAGATAGAGTCTGAAGTTTTATGTATACAGATTAAAAACTGAGGCTAAAATTGAATCTTATTTTAGCTTTATAATATAATAGGGTTTATAATCCTTTTAAAATGTTTGTCTTCGTTTTCTTCATTTGATGTCAACTCCCTACTTCAAAAATATTTATAGTGCCTACCATATGTTGATAAATGAAGAAAACTAGTTGCAGAAATGTATATACAGCATGATACCATTTAGGTAAAACAACAACAACAACAACAATAACAACAAAAACAAAACTGTGTGCCTGGCACATAGTAGGTACTCAGTAGCTGTTGACTCTGTGTGTATACATGTAAACAGATCCGAAGACATATAATTGGAGAGGTTACCTCTGGGAAGAGGTTTGTGATATAAAGTGTGTTTTTATTCTGTGTACTTTTATGTTTCAGTTTTTTGCAATGAGCATGTGTTACTTTTGTATACTTTTTTTTTATAATGATTAAAAAATGAAGAAAAATCTACAACTAAGGATAGGTAGCTCCTTCCCAAGTAGATCCACTGCTTCTTTATACCCTGATGTGCTTGCCAACCCCTATCAGACAAATACTCTGACTCTACAGAATTACTGCTTCTCTAAGAAGAGAGATGAGCATTGATCAAATCTGTTTGTTTGGTGCCATTTCCATGTAATCTAATAAGCTTTTGTAAACAGAATTTTTCTAAGGAAAAATTTCAAACATACAAGCATAGAATTATATCTACCTCCCAGCTTCAACAGTTACTAACACATGGCAGTCTTTTATCCTCTATAGCCCCCACACCCACCCCCCTGGATTATTTTCAGGCATATCTTAGATACATCATTTTATCAATAAATGATCAGTATGTATATCTAAAACATAAGGATTCTTTTGACACAACCAAAATACCCACATCATACTTAAGGATGTGCAATAAATTATTCCTTTATGTCAATCACCTAAGAAGTTTTTAATACTCTGCAATCTAATTACTGTCAATTTAAATTGCTATTTTATTTACTTTCATTGTTTGTATCCTTCAAGTACTTTTAACTAGTGTCTTTTTTCCATTCAAATTTAGTATACTTTTTCCCACTAGAGTTGTAATGAAACCAAAATGATAGTTTTTGCTTTTGACATCTATGCTTATATTTCTTAAAATAAAAATCAGAAGCTTGAATAAATGGCTGGGTATCTTCACTTAACAAATTTTAAAAATGATTCAGGTATATATTATTGCATTATGCTACATTAGAATGGAAAGCTATTCGTACCTTGATAGCAAAGTCACACAATTCACAAGTCATGGCCAAAATTATTCTTTTTCTCAAGTGTTTTTCTGATAGTTTGTCTGACTTTAATATTTTTGTTTCATATAGGTCCCTAATTAATAGAAGATGGCAAAGCCCAGCCACAGCAGCTACGTCCTTCAGCAGCTAAACAACCAAAGGGAATGGGGTTTTCTCTGTGACTGTTGTATTGCGATTGATGACATTTACTTTCAAGCACACAAAGCAGTTCTGGCTGCCTGTAGCTCCTATTTTAGAATGTTTTTCATGAACCATCAGCACAGTACTGCACAACTGAATCTCAGCAACATGAAAATTAGTGCCGAGTGCTTTGATCTCATTTTGCAGTTTATGTATTTAGGAAAAATTATGACAGCTCCTTCCAGTTTTGAGCAGTTTAAAGTGGCAATGAACTACCTACAGCTGTACAATGTTCCTGACTGCTTAGAAGACATACAGGATGCAGATTGTTCCAGTTCAAAATGTTCATCTTCTGCTTCTAGCAAACAGAACAGCAAAATGATATTTGGGGTAAGAATGTATGAAGACACCGTAGCTAGAAATGGCAGTGAAGCCAATAGGTGGTGTGCAGAGCCAAGTTCAACAGTAAATACACCCCATAATAGAGAGCCTGATGAAGAGTCTTTGCAATTAGGTACTTTTCCTGAACCACTATTTGATGTATGTAAGAAGAGTTCTGTGTCCAAATTATCTACTCCAAAAGAACGTGTGTCACGACGCTTTGGACGGAGTTTTACCTGTGATAGTTGTGGATTTGGCTTTAGCTGTGAAAAATTATTAGATGAGCATGTGCTAACCTGTACTAACAGACATTCGTACCAAAACACAAGATCCTATCACAGAATAGTGGATATTAGAGATGGGAAAGACAGTAATATCAAAGCTGAATTTGGTGAAAAGGATTCTTCTAAAACATTTTCTGCACAGACAGACAAATACAGAGGAGACACAAGCCAGGCTGCTGATGATTCAGCCTCAACCACCGGCAGCAGAAAAAGTAGCACAGTGGAGTCTGAACTAGCCAGTGAAGAAAAAAGCAGAGCTGCTGAGAGGAAAAGAATCATTATCAAGATGGAACCAGAAGATATTCCTACAGATGAACTGAAAGACTTTAACATTATTAAAGTTACTGATAAAGACTGTAACGAGTCCACTGACAATGACGAATTAGAAGACGAACCTGAAGAGCCATTTTATAGATACTACGTGGAAGAAGATGTCAGTGTTAAAAAAAGTGGGAGGAAAAGTCTGAAACCTCGAATGTCAATAAACGCGGATGAAAGAAGTGGTTTGGAAAATCTAAGGCCCCCAAACAACAGCAGTCCAGTACAAGAGGATACTGAAAACGCATCTTGTGAGCTCTGTGGGCTCACGATCACCGAGGAGGACCTGTCGTCTCACTACTTAGCCAAACACATCGAGAATATCTGCGCATGTGGTAAATGCGGACAAATACTTGTGAAGGGTAGACAGCTTCAGGAACATGCCCAGAGGTGTGGAGAACCCCAAGATCTGACGATGAACGGGTTAGGAAACACCGAGGAGAAAATGGACATGGAAGAGAATCCTGATGAGCAGTCTGAAATAAGGGATATGTTTGTTGAAATGTTGGATGATTTTCGGGACAATCATTTCCAGATAAACAGTATCCAAAAAAAGCAGTTATTTAAACATTCTGCCTGTCCTTTTCGATGTCCTAACTGTGGCCAGCGTTTTGAAACTGAAAATCTAGTAGTTGAACATATGTCTAGCTGCCTAGACCAAGACATGTTTAAGAGTGCCATCATGGAAGAGAACGAAAGAGATCACAGACGAAAGCATTTTTGTAATCTGTGTGGAAAAGGATTTTATCAGCGCTGTCACTTAAGAGAACACTATACTGTTCATACTAAGGAAAAACAGTTTGTTTGTCAGACATGTGGAAAGCAGTTTTTAAGAGAACGTCAGTTGCGCCTGCACAATGATATGCACAAAGGCATGGCCAGGTATGTCTGTTCCATTTGTGATCAAGGCAACTTCAGAAAACATGACCATGTACGGCATATGATTTCTCACTTATCTGCTGGTGAGACTATATGCCAGGTCTGCTTTCAGATATTCCCAAATAATGAACAGTTGGAACAGCACATGGATGTTCATCTGTATACATGTGGAATATGTGGAGCAAAATTTAATTTGAGGAAAGATATGAGATCACATTATAATGCCAAGCATTTGAAAAGAACATAAGTGATTTTCTACTGTATAACGTTTAGTTAGCAGACAAAACACCAAAGCAAAGGATATCAGCTATTTAGAAAATGATTTTATAAGTTTGATTGTTGGAAAAAAATTTCAGAGCCCTCTTATGTTTAATATTTTTGTTTAGGATCTTAAGTAACTACATTTTAGGTGTTATTAAATGTTTATCATTTTTGTTATTTCTTAATAGAATTCTTTGTTTTTAGTTTGTTTTAGCTATGATTAAAATTACTTTTAAATGTAGACTACAAGTGGTTGTTACCCCTTCAATGACTATTAAAGTTTAGGTATTTTTATCAATAAGATGATGACTTCACTATTTTTATGTGTTTTTTTTTAAGGTTACCATATGAAACTTTAAACCTGACATCATTGGCCATTCCTGTTTAAATTTAAAAAATTTTTTAAAGTGATTATTTGAAACTATCTCATTCACTTTAGCTTTTTTTTTTGTAACTTGAACAGTGATTTAGTCACTGTTTATTTCCCCTTCTTATCAATGAAAATTCATATTCTTAAATTGACAAATTTATTAGGCAGGTTAGGTGCACTGAATCTAACCTCGAAGATTGACATGGGCTCTAACTTGGCCTAAAAAGATTGATGGACTTAAGGAAATTCCTATAAATGAATATTTCGTATAATTGATAAAATATTATCATTTAATATGCACATTTAAAACTTATATTAAGTGTAAAAACCCAATGACTTTACCCCACTTGAGAAATTAGTGGGGACAAGTCATTTTGTTTTGTGATATTAAATTTAACTATGATAGTTAATTAAAAAGGCATATCTTGTATTCATTTAAAATAATTTAAAATATTTGATTTCTAAAGTGTGTTAGTTTATCAATTATTTTTGTTTATAAATAGACTTTAATAGTTCTCTAGGAATATGACATCTAAAGGAAAATGATTTTTCACCTTTAAAATGACATACTTTTGGAACTTACTTTGAGATTTGAGAAAGCTGCCATGTATATTGATAAATCTAATAAAATAAAGAAATCAATTACAAATCTGGTTTTTTATAAAAGTAGAGTGTGCAGAAAAATGTCTTGTGTTTTATACTATCTAAGATTTGGAGAAAATGTGTTATAGCAAACTGCAATTTATCACCATGCATTTTTTTTCTGTAAAAGACTATAAAATTTGAGAACTATAAGATAATCACAGAACATATAAATGAAACTAGTTTATCATTTTAAAAAGTAGTATTACTGTTAGTTGTTGCTGACACAGAGTCTACATGAATTACATGTGAATTAAAACACTGGCAAAACTGGCCCACCAATCAACACATCTACTGGATAGAATGCCTTTCAATGTGAATTACTTGTATTGTAATACCTGTCTCATAATGAAAGGGATTTTAAATAACTCCTATATTTAAAAGTATAATTTTGTGATTAAGAACAGTAATTTAACAGTATTGTTCTTTTTGTTTACATCACATTTTTAAGATATGCAAGTCATATTTTTGTATACAATTTGCATAAAAGAACAAGTTGCCAAGAGAACTGAGAGACATACTGACTAGCACAGAATTAGTTGAAAGAGAAGTATTATATTAGAGCACAGTGTGAGCTCATAGATTTGTGAGAATATGTTGAGATGTTAAGTAAGAATTGAAATAGTCCAGAGCCATGCAGAATTAGAACAAAATAATGGGAAGAACAGGTGGGGAAAACACATGAAAAGATGAATGAGAAATCAGGAATTTAAAAAAAATCATAAAGCAGAAAAACCAAGAAAAGTGATTCATCTTAGTCTTGGATACAATAGTTTATCAAGTAATTAAATCTGAAAAGCAATTTAAAATGAAATATGGTATATACATTACTGATAGGAATCGAACAAAAGTTCTGTAACAAACCCAGAGACCGTCAGACTAGTGTAAAGAGAGAAGATCAACTCAAATCAAATTTCCAAGCTATTTATATAGTCTTAGTAGACATCATTTTTTTGGGGACCACTTTTTTCCATGACCCCCTCATTAAAATCTCTATTGGACTGGCTTTCCCACCACTAAAGAACAGGTGTCTTTCTAAACACTACCACTATTTCCTATTCCATAAGGAAAGGGGGTTTAGTTTAGACACAAACTAACATCCAACAATTAGCAAGCAAATATATAAATATTAAACATAATCTCTGATTTTCATAATAGATGTTTGTAAGTTCACAAAGCCACACGTCACACTGTTGTTTTCTGCCAGTTGCATGATACACAGGACACACATTTTGTTTTGCAACTAGCTCTGGCTGCACAAGCTTCTGTGAGTATAATGTACAATTTTCCTTATTAAGGCAGAGTTCCTTTAAAGGCTACCTGCCTTTTAAAACTAGGGGGAATGAAAGGTATCCAGCACCTCTCTCCGGCCCAGTTTCCTCCCACTTCTTTCTCTTCTCTCCTGGGGTGGATGAAGCTACAGAGCTGTACCTACTTAGTATTGCCTCTTGCCATCCCGTGCTGTGAAGGCGGTGAAGCCAGGCTGTGGAAGCTGCCTCCTTCTCCTGCCTTTATAATTTACATGATTAGGCTCCAAATCTGAAAATTCAGGGAGAATCTATATATGTGAAATCTTGTTTCTCTTTCTGTCTCACAAACATAGTCTTGCTTAAAGGGCCTTTTGTTCTCCAGCAAGAAATCCTGGAGGAATGGAGTCAGTGCTTAACAAGCTTGCCACCAATTACCATGCAACTCAGATGTTTATAATTCTTTAGTAAACAGGTCTAAGAATCTCAGGGATTAATAAAGCACAACCAAGGCAGCAGTGGATTAAGCCTCAGAAATTTATTTTAATCGCCCCTGAATTTTTAGAGTAAAAATATTCAGAGAAATGACTCATGTGAGTAAAATCGTACATGGCTAAAGTTTAATGTATGAAGTTTGAGTATGAACAAAAATTAGAAAAGGAACATAAGGATTCCAGGAGCTAGTTATAAAAATTAAAGAATTAAAATAAGGAGAGTTTGCATCAATTAAAGAAATATGCCTGACTAAAAATCATATTTAAGTACTGTAGTTGAGAACAAAAGTATGAACATGACACAAAAGTTGAATTAAAAAATAAACATTTGAAATTTTCTAGGTGAGATGAGTAGAAATGGAAGTAAATTTGATAGGTTAAAATGATTTGATTAAACCAATTCACTCAGAGCTATAGAGTACCTAGTGAAACAACTGTTAGGAACATGCCAAGGGTATGCATAAATACTTGAGATAATATACCAATGTTTATATTTTAAAAATGTGGGAAGAGAAGCTGGTGATGGTTGGCAACTTTCTCCCTGATAAAATAATATTTGTTCCTTTATCAGTAATTAAGGAACTGATTTATTTAATAGATCTCTGGAAAATTCCCCAAAGAACCGGTGTAACAGTTAAACCTAAAACTTGTCATTGTTATTAACAAAATGCTAAATTAGTACCAACCAGAAGAGAAAAACTTGAATGTATATGTATACATAGTTGAGAATAAAGCAACTTGGTACATTTCTTAATTCTAAATGGGTTTCATGAGTTACAATTTTTTTTTTTGCTATTAATCTACTTTGATCAGCTCTTCATCTTCCTTCACCACCTCCACCTCTTTTGTGACAAATGTGAGTGATACAAGCCTGTGCTCTGAAGGCACCCTAGGATTCTAGGGTACCAAAAGGCTCTGTGGGAACATATCCTTGTGGAATGTCTCCCCTCTCCTGATACCTGAGGTGCAATAAACTGGGGGTGACAGGATGAATGCCAGAGAACTGAAGCAAGTAGTGTTAGATTTGATGTTAAGAACTTGAAACTGTGGCCCAGATTTGGAAACCCATGATCCACCCATCCCAGGGGTCTCAGTAATCCCAGCATCCATTTAGTTAGCACTCCTTGTACTCTGCTAAATGCTTTACAGATGTAATTTTAATTAATCCTTATAGCCTTATGAGGTAAGTATTCTAATTTTCCAGATGTGGGACCAAGGTTCAGAGAGACTTAGTCTTTTTCCTAAGATCACATAGAAACTAAATAGTAGAGCTGGAATTTGAAACTAGACCTATCTGATTTCTACATTCCTGTACTTAACCACTAAGCTACATACTCTGCCTATCAAGAAGTACAAAGAAGGGCCTGTTCAGCTCAGTAACAAATGTGACAAAGCTCCTATGAGACTGTACTCCTCGTTCATCATCTATCATCTACTATGTCTCGTAAGGTACCTGGTTATAGTGGGTACCTAATGAACATACTGAATAATGTGCATATTTATCAGTCAGAAACAAAACTTTTTATTTGAATGGGTCATTCAGAATGATGTTTTAGAAATAAATACTAAACACTTATGTTTTAATTTTCTTTTATTTAAACTTAAAACATTTAGTGGTATATCAGCCATTTTTTTCAGGGCCATAGTAGGTGCTCAATTAAAAATTAATTTGAGTTCAACTTCTATATTTCTACCTCTGTGACTTTTTGCCCCTCTGTCTTCTCTGTTCCTTACCTTTATGTTTTAATCTCTCCCATCAGTCACCATTTTTTTTTATTGGTTATGAGACGGATGAGTTGACTAACTCAAATCATTTGAAAATATTTCTCCCCAAAAATCAGGACCCCAGAATAATCAGTTTCCTCTTTTTGCTTTAAAAGATGATGTGGATAAGAAAATTTTCATTTCTTTGATTAAGAAACAAAACAAAATCCCTAATTACCACATTGTGGTTGATTAAGGTTTATAAATCAATCTAAATTGTCTAAAAACAAAAGTTGATTATTCAATTTCCCAAAAATATCTATATATTTCTAGTGTAAACTTACAAAGACAGTCTTACTCGTAAAAGAAATGAAAGATAATTTCAAGAAACAACAGCTGTATATCCACCCTAACCTAGCAGCAAACTTTTAAGAAATGAATGGTGTAAGTGAAACAATGCTCCTGCCAATCTAATCTGATTATAATTTTATGCCTCTATTGCCTGATTTCTGAAACTTATACAATTGGTTTTACTATTACTATGTTAAGTCTACTACTTTAAGGATCTCTCTACCATCTGCCAAATGTTACTTTTTAAAGACTAGGATAAGATGCTGAAGATTCCATGGATAATGTCTACATAGTCTTAAGTGGCCTATTTTCATTGCCTTTTATCAAACTCATGGACATATTCCTTGGTAACATACAGGTACAGTCTCATACTAAGACAGGTGAAATTTAGCTATTTATAAATTTATATGCTGGCAAGAGGCAAAAGTGCAAGGATTTAGAATGTTTGGGTCTCAGAGTATTGGGAAATACAAATATTAACTAAATGACAATAACAGCTTGTAAATTCATGCTAATTTTGAACCAACTTAATACCACTTGATGTTTATATGCACATGCTTAGTTGACTTTAGTATTAAAAAGTTAAAATTTCATTTAAGTTGCTCCCTTGTTACGTTTAGGAGAACCAAATCACAGAGATCCATTAGTAGTGACAGAATCATTCACAGTTTTTATCAAAATCCACGACAGATCACTACTGGACAGGAAGCCACTTATAATTTTTCTCATTATCTTACTCATTTGTTGACAAAAGAGATGGTGTGAAGATTATAATTCAGTACTTGGCTCCAAATTAAATGTATCAGTGTACAAATCACCATTGTAATAAGTAAGAAATCACAGGAAACTCTAGGGCCAAAGGACGACAAAAATGTAAAAGACATGATTTCATTTCAGAGTCAGGAATATTAATAATTTTATGTTAGAAAATTTGCTAACTCTATGTACTTACCTATTTGGGAAAGGAACAGTTAGGGAGACAGCCTATGAAGTCCCAGTTAAGCTTTATTTTTAAAGTTACTGTTTGTTTTTATTCTACTTAAACCAAATGCTTTTCCAATCAGAATCAGCAGAGCTCATTTTAAGATGACAAATATAAACATCCAGATTATGAAAGTCATTGTTTCTTTCAAATACTTAAATGTTCCCTGATGTGGAAAAAAAATAATTTAAGTGACAATCTCTTTTTGACAAAATTAGGACAAAGCATTGCTGCGAAAAATATAATTCTACCCAGAATCACTGAAGCAGGTTAGGGGAGTTATGAACTTAGGAATTTGAAGGAAAACTCCTTTGTGTGTGCATGCGTGCGTGTGTGTGTATGTCTCTGTGTGTGTGTGTTTATTTTCACTTGCAGAGTGTAAAGCACTTAATATTTAAAGAGAATAATGTTAACTTGATGGCTGAAGGCCCTCAATAAAAAGGACATGAACTTTTAAATTTGTTAGATCTATGTTTCATTCAGAGAGTTGCCATTAACAAATACATTGTAAAATTATTTTATTTGAAGGAAAACATTTCTTAACTGCTTCCTTTCTCCTTACTTTTCCCTACCTGGCTGCCCTCCTATCTTTTTATGTTATGTACTTATGAGCCATACCCATTCTAGCCTACCTAGCTCATGTAAGAAAAAAATTGCCCCGATAGCTGAAAAATTACATTGGTAATAAGAACACCTTATATTTGAAGGGTATGATGAATTTACATTGGGGAAGAAGTTAAATAAATCTAAGTTCTAGGAATTGTGCTTTTTGTTCCCATTCTTTGTTCTGTTAACAGTGTAGTATACTGGCCTGGTGCCAAAAGTCATGAAATTCTGAACTAAGAATTATGTTGTATCTTGTAGAGCAGTCAACTTGTAATAATATTTTTCTTGAGTTTTGTCTTTTTCTGTGTGGCAGTGGTCAAATAGGGCCTTCTAAACCTCTGGAGAAGTGAGATCTGAATTTGGAGAGGACATGGGGAAGAATCAATCTTCAACAGATAACCTTTAAGTCCAGACCCAGGAATATCAGATCTGAAGTGACACCATCTTTTCTGTCTTCTGACAAACCTCATCAAACCCCAAAGTTCCAGTTGCAAGGATCCAAGAAAACTCAGTAAATATCACTTTGGAATCACTTTGTTGGAATCAAATTGATTCGTGGTGACTCTCCTATCTATTATTTGTGGAAAATCTGCTAAAGAAAAATAACTGGAATATTCATATGACATCAGTGGTTAAAGTTACACTAAAATGAAACTTTATATGCTAATTATCTTCAAGGGTCCCTCCTAAAATAAAAGGGCTTGCTAGGCTACTATAAATACATTATAAAGTGAGATAATCACATATCTGTATAAACACATATAATTCTAAACTTAAAATACATTGAATTACAGTTTACATATCATGAAATGTAGTTAGACAATTTCAAAAATTACACCCCAAAATCTGCAGTTTAGAGTATAAATAAAAAGATGTGGGCACAGAGAAAAAATTTAAGACCAATATTTTAATAAGAAAAAATAATCTAGTTATTGCTTCCTGTAATGTAACATTTGCTTTTCCTCTTTTTTCACTGTGTATACAAACTTGATTATTAATATTAATGGGGCTCCCTTTTAAGTCTGTTACTTGAAGAAAAAATAGAAGTGGTACTACTTCAACAGTAGCATATTTTTACAAATCACAGACAACCAAGAAGAAAGTATCTTAAGACACAGTATTTTCTTCTCAACTTAGTAATGTAACCTAATAAGGCAGGATAAGTTTCTGTTAAACATTTATTCTTGGTATTAATGTATAATACCATGCTTCTCAGCTTTCAAATGTCAAGAGAAATTCAACTAAGTATTGAATCAAACAATGGTTAACCTGTTTAAAAAAACTTTCATGGGAAAATGAAATGTTTAGTGAGATTTTAACCTGGAGATAACAGATAGATAGGTACATAGACAGATAGACAGACAGATAGATATACACACATTTATTAACCATATGAATCTTGCATTATATCCTTATTGTGAGTATATTTGTAGTTCTGGTTTTAGTTAACTGTGTACCCAATTCATCATCATCATCATCATTGTTTCTTCTGCAATATCAAGATGTTACATATTTTCAGAAATGTTTGTTTTTAAGCCGATTTCTTCAAATGTTTTAATAAGGAGTTGCACAAAGAGATCTAACTTAGAGAATACATAATAGCATATCATTTAACATCTCTAGCTATAAAACAGAGTGATAACTTGAATATTCATTTTAATAACCCAACTAACAAAAAAATCACAGGGAGTTGATTAGAATGTGATAGTGGGTACTGGGTTGAGAAGGGAGACGAAAAATCCATTAAAGACTTCAAATTCACATGAATTCAACTGCTTTAAGAGAAATAAAGCAAAAATGCTTGGAGAAGTTTTAGAGCCTAAAACAAAAACTATAGCTAATCTCTTTTGGGAACATGAATAAGCATACAGAACTGCAGACTTCTAACAGATAGGAAACAGAAAAGATAAAAGCATACTATCAATAATTAAAGGTGCCAGATCAATATAGTAGAAACTCAGTAACAATGATTTTTGATTGACTGGTGGAATTAGATGTACAAAATAAATATGGCTTAAATTTTGACTGTACTAAACTACAAATGTAATGAATTACAATAATTATAAGTGATATAAATGCACTCTATAATGTGATTATTTTCTGTATAAGTATAAAATGGAGTTACTGGGTTACATAGACAATTTTTGTTACATTTTTTAATCTATTGCTTATACATAATAAAATTTCCTCCTCTATGATCAGAAGTTAAACTGTCTGTATATTACTTTTATTTATACTGTACTTTTTCAAACTGGCTCTTTTAAAAAATTTTGTATGAAAAGTTATCAATTTCTTTCATTCTATATCAAAATAATAAAGAATCTAATATAGCTAATCATGATATTTCTGAGCAGCTTAAGAAGTGCACAAAAAATTAATTAAAATTCTTATTTCCAAATCCTGGCTTCTTTCAACATAGAATGATTTGAAAGTACTATCTCATGGCAAAAGCAGATGGCAACAAATTAAGGTGGTTTTCTCATAATATAAAAAAAAGTAATTATTTATAAAAATCCACCAACACAGTATTTAGTTCTTTTGGAGGGTTAATTCATTTCTCTAACAAACAATTTATTCAGCAAAATTACTTTCTTACCAATATAACTCATTTTGTTTATTTTCAGTTTGAGAATTTAACAAGTTGTTTTTCTTTATCCATGTGATCAGCAATGAGTATTCTCTTCATTTCAGGTAAGTCCTGAAAAATAATTGCCTAATTTCACAGAATTTAATAAGTATTAGCAATAATGGCATATTAAGTCTGAGTCTCCATGTATAAGACAACTTCACTTTCAGATTATTTCAGACTACTCCACAAGAGTCTATTCTTGAAGTTAGCATCTATAAAACTGAAGAAGGCACAATTTGTCTGCTGTTGTCACAGATTTCACTTCTTTTCTGGAAAAGCCTCTCTTCCGGGTTTGGGTCCCTTAGCCTTGCAAACCAGGTATGGTAGTGTCCTACCACAGACCACTGTGTATCTACAGTTTAATTACAACTTTTAAAGACTGAGTTTTTTAAGACTCAAAGAAAAAGTGGTGAAATTTTTCCTATAGTGACAGGTGACTAGAGAAATATTTTGGGACAGGGTACATCCAAAGAATTATAAAATGGCAGCATTTATAGAGATCTTAAATATAATAACTAGTTCAACTCCGGTTTGCTCATAGGCCCTCAAATTAGAGACTGCTACCTATTCCAGCTTCTCATCAGGCCAACATTACTCTTCAAACAATCCACAACTTTTATTAAGGTTCTGCCTGGGTAGGGATTGAGAGGGTTCCACAAAATCCTTAATTTTTTTTCCCTACCAATTCTGGAAGAAATGTATTCTTGCTTAGTCTCTTTAGGGAGGCGTGGCTACCCATGCACATAGTTTTAGACCTCATCTTATTCATCTTTGAATCTCAGGTACAAATATTTTCAGATGTGAATTTATTTCAGGTTTTGGTCTCTGCAGTATTATTTAGTACAGAATAAAAGCAGTAGGACGAGAATCTTCCTCTTATTCAGAAAAAAATGGAAATAATTTCTAGATACTTTTGGTTAAATAATATGCCTCAGGTCACTTTTAATAAACATTGAGCTAGTGAATTACTACTGTGTTCCAGGTACTCTTTTGGGTTTTGAGGATTAATTAGAGAAAATTTGACACATATTAAAGCTCTTGTTTTTTTCAGACTGTGTGGAATCTTACTCTTTGAATTAAAAAATATTTTGAAACAACCTAGTATTTATAATTTGCCAAACGGATTTCACTTGTTAAAAATCAGTAGTAATTTCTATGCTAATAGTAGGATTAGTGAATTTTGTTTCAGTTGAATGTTAATAGTCAAGCTTTGAAAACCAATTGTAAAAGTACAAGAAAATTTAGAAAAATTACTGATGATCCTACCTTCTAGAGATAACTAATTTTGATGCATTTTTCATACATATGTATGATTGTACAACTCCTGTATCTTATTTTTCCACTTAATTAATATCAAGAACATTTTCCTGTATCAAAAATCTTAGAAACAATTTTTAGGGCTACATAATAATTCATAACTATAATTTAAATAATAATTTTCTTATTGTCAGATATTAAAACAATTTCCCTTTTATCATTGTTATCATAAATAATATACCTGCATGCTCTATTATTTCCTAAGGATAAATCCCACAAAGAGTAATGCTAAATGAAGGGTATGATCATATTTAAAGTAAAGAAAAAATATTGTCACACAGCCCTCCAGAAGGATTGTACCGATCTACATTCCCACTATTAGGGTTTACCTGTTTTGTTGCAACATTATTGGCACTGAAGAATATCATTTGATCATAAATTTGCTAATTTGATAATTTTAATGGGCTACGTTTTTAATGAAATGTGAGCCACAATCATCAAAAAGAACATTAAAAAGAAAATCAATACAAATAAGGAAAAATATAAAAACTCCAAGAACGGTCAGTATATGATAACATTCTAGGTCTACAAAGGTTCATTTCATATAAAATCAAAATGCAAATACTGTGTCTTTTGGGGGAAAGCTCAGGATGCCATTTAAAGTATGAAACATATGAAACATCAGTTCACTAGGTGAAAAGTTAGAGCAGAAAAAAAATGAAAATACGGATAAAATTGCTACTGTGGTTTCAGAAGCTGTATTGAAGATAATTGTGGTAATTAGATTGCAAGATCTGTTTGTAATAATTGTGCATAGAGATAGTACCTAGTTACTATACAAAAGAACCCCTCCCTTCTGAAAAACTAATTTTAGTGTCTGTGTGTAAGAACAACCATGATTGTTTTTTTGCAGTCTGGCTTTGCTTGAGGTATGTGTGTGCCGGCTGTCTGAATCCAAGAGATCTGAAGAGTTTGTGTTTCACACAATTCTCTCCTTTCAGTTGTAGTTGGGATCCTGTCTAAATCACATCATATCATTAGTTCTACAAAGAATTGGTATTGCTCTCCAGCTCACTAATTCCCTCCACCCCTCCTTTTTTTAACACACAAAAGACAAAAATTTCCAAGAATAAAATCAAGAAATCTGTTCTCACAATTTAAGGTAAATTCAATAAAAACATTTTGGTTTGATCTTTGTCTTCCTAATTTTTTTAAAGTTTTCCTAGTTCAAATTTCTTCGCTAACTTCTTTCATAGAAAAAGAGATGGACCTGTGATTAAAACCAGTACTATTTAACCAATGAGATTAACAAATTAATAGCTAATGTGTGTTTTAAAAGTGGAAATTACATACACAACTAGATAGAAGAAACTTAAATGTCCATTGCTTGACTTCATAGGATTCTGTCAACATTATTTTTTGGTCAGATAACTTTTGTGTCTCTCAGATAAAAATTTTTCTCCAGCACTGTCTCAAACAACTTTGATGTGGACAATACATTACCCTCCTTCAAAGTATAGTTTCCCTCCTCCCACAGCCCCAGGAAAAAGACCATGGCACATAAAGCTCTTAAATGTATCCTGTCTACCTAAAGAGACTATTTGTTGTTCTATCCTTCCCCTCATAGTGCCATTAACCTTCTGCATAAAACTTGTAGTTGCTCCAGCACACACTTCTCTCATCCTTGCCCATGCTACAACCCATGCAAAGAATGCCTTTCCTCCCCTCTTTGCTGGCAAACTTCGGCGCCTGGCTAGGGTATGTCACCTCTTCCAGGAAGCCCTCAGGAACATACTTTCCCCTGTCTGGATGTGCTCCTTCTTTGTGTTTCTATAGCACTTCTCTCGAATTATTTTTACCTCTTTATTGGACTCCCAAGTTCGTAAGGAAGGACTATTACATTTGTCTTTCTACTCTCACACAGCAGGTATTTGTTAATGTTCTCATAATGAATGTCTCCAGCTTCCCTACATGAGGCGAATTTGTTATTGTCTTACTTCAAGAGCACATTTATAGGTGACTGCTTCTATCTCCGATTACCTGGAGCCAGATCGTACTTCCAGACCTACACTCATGTTCCTCTTAAACATAAAATGAACTGCGCCCCTTTTCATTTACCTTCTGAGGTTTATGCCTCTGGTATAACTTCATCATAGCTAAAAAAAATTATCTCACTCAGTTGAGTTCAGTCATAACATAACTCAATCATAAACACGATCGTGTGTGTTTAAGCTGCAGATGAGAGAATCACGAGGGACACGAGAATGGGTTATTTTATAGTGTGTCAACATGTGGGCTTTAATTTACAGATTTCCCTGTGAAGAACCCAAAGCGGCGGGTAAAGCACTTGAAAAGGAAAATAAGGAAAGCAGTAGAGAGAACAGGGAGGTGAAACTACGAAGCTTTGCATGGCAGGACAAGCAGGGGGAATGGAAAGCGAGGTACAGAAAGTTTGTAAACACTGGGACGACGAGCTGCAACCACTCCCCTGCCTCCCATTCTGCAGGCCGCCTGGCGAGCGACGCGGAAAAACAGCCGGCCTCCCCGGACGCTCTCCCGGGCTCTTGCTGTCCCCCCACCCCCGTCAGGCTGATTTTATCCAGCGCTCACACCCACCGAGACGTTGAGCGCGCAAAATAAATTTCCAGGAGGCCGACCGCCCATCCTAGAAATTTCTCTGTCATTTCTTTTTGTTCCCGCCCGGAGGTAGCCGCCCTCACGCCAAGGCCACGCCAACGCCCACGGCTCCGGAGAAAGAAAAAAAGCTGGCTCTGGCCCTATTCCCTCGATGGAACCGACTCAGAATGGACTGCCCCGCCCCCGAGAGCTAGGTTAGTTGGGACACTGGGCACTACACAGCATTTCAGACTTCAAGAACTGACCGAACTACCTAGACGGCCACCCTCTCCGGGCTATCGTTCGGCGCCTCCCGCCCGCGCCACGCCCCAGCCCTTCCTGCCCCACCCCACTTGGGCGTCCGCGCTGCTCATTGGCCATGTTTCCTGCCAATCCACCGGACGTCGACGAACCCCGTCTTAGGAAAGGCAAAAGCGCGCACACCTGGCCGGGGGCGCGAGCCTAACGCCCCCAAGCTGCGGGCCGCGGGGTACACTAGGGAGGGGCTTTATTTGCATAACGGCCGCCCCTCGCGTCCCTGTGCAGGCCGGGGTCCCGCCCCTCACCCAGCTAGAAATCCGTTGGGCGGTAGGCGGGTCATTCCGACCCAGGGAAGCCTGTGGCTGGCGGTCCCGGGAGCGGATTGGCTCTGGGAGTTTTCAGAAGGCGGCAGGAAGGCAACTATAAGAGCCGGGAGCTGAGAGAGGGGAGCGGGAGACGCTGGTTGCGCTCGCGGTGTTGGGTGTGAGGCGACCGTTAGTTGAGGTCGCGGATTTTCTGTCCCAGGTGTTCTCGTCTAACGTCGCTTGCCTGTCTTTCGGTCAGGATGTCTGCCCGCGGCCCGGCTATCGGCATCGACCTGGGCACCACCTACTCGTGCGTGGGGGTCTTCCAACATGGCAAGGTGGAGATCATCGCCAACGACCAGGGCAACCGCACCACCCCCAGCTACGTTGCCTTCACCGACACCGAGCGCCTCATCGGCGACGCTGCCAAGAACCAGGTGGCCATGAACCCCACCAACACCATCTTCGACGCCAAGAGGCTGATCGGACGGAAGTTCGAGGACGCCACAGTGCAGTCGGACATGAAACACTGGCCATTCCGCGTGGTGAGCGAGGGAGGGAAGCCCAAAGTGCAGGTGGAGTACAAGGGAGAGATCAAGACTTTCTTCCCCGAGGAGATCTCCTCCATGGTCCTCACTAAGATGAAGGAGATCGCCG